TTTTTTTTGTTTTTTTTGTTTTTTTTTTGGTCCTCTGCAGACTTCTCTATTTTCGTCGAAAGTCTCAGAAAATTGTTTCTTGTTTTTTTTGATCCTCTGCAGGCTTTTCATGTTCCTTAACTAGAAAATGATTGAAAAACCTATGAATTAAAAACCCACCCCCCATGACAATCCCTTCTGTATATATATATATATAATTGTATGTGTATGTTGTGTGTACTTAAATCTGTGTATGTTTTGTTTGTAGTTGTTTGGCCATTGTTTGTAAGTGACATGCTGTGACATGCTGGCCATCGCAGGTCCTGAGAAGTGCAAGAAACAAACACAGAATCCGGAATATCTCCCCGATTCCTTACGAAGATTCTTTATGTTCTTACCCAGACACTCCATGTATGTTCATATATGCCAGCCATTAGCCGATCAGGTTGGTGTGATTTTGGGGGTCAATGTAACAAGTTCAAGTCCCATAGCGTGTTTGGGTCTGAACTTTCTGGAGAACTTCCCTGGACCTCCAGGACTATATGCACAGCAGGGCCGACGCGAGCCCTGCACGAACCGGCGTGATTTCTGTTCGCTCGTTAAGCGGAGCTTTTTCACGGAGAGTTAGACAGACCAGAATTGGTACCAGATGAGAAAACGCTCCAACAAGCGCCCAAACGGGTGAGAGATGCGGTGGAAGAAGAAGAGGAAGAAAAAGAAGAAGAGGAAGAAGAAGAAAAAGAAGAAGAAGACATATATATGTTCTTCTCTTCTTCTCTTCTCTTCTTATATATAATTATGTTCTTCTCTTCTTCTTGTCTCGTCTTTTTGAAAAGGCTCCAACAAGCGCCCAAACGCGTGAGAGATGGCACCAGATGAAAGAGATCGGGACTTCGCTTCATCTTCAGAGCTTCAGACTTAGAACAGAGTGCTGGCTGGAATGACTTGTCCCTAGGGCTCCAAGTACATCCGGATGGAAGGTATTTAGACCTCAAACACCTCAGAAGCTACTTGGAGCTCTAGGGTGTTGGAGGATTAGATCTCAGTGTTGCCCCCCCAATCGCGCCAATCGCTCGGCGTCCGCTTCGGACCCCCGCATCGCGCCAAATCGGCCGCTTTGGACGGGACCGCTCTTCAGCATCCCAAAAGCCTTCGCCGCTTGGGTTCTTTTTTAACGCCACCTGCAGAATGGAAGAGTTCGCATGCACTGCGTGCAGGTGTCTCACACGGCGGCAGTGCACATGCAGCAATTAGATTGGGGTAATTCTACCAGAGGAATGGCCTAACCCTAAGCATCAAGGAGATGCTTTTTTGCTTTTCGCAGGGGTGAAGGGACCCGAACCAAGCCTTCACCTGAGGGGCCTCAGGGTTCTTATAGAGAAGACTCGAATTGAATCTTCCATGAACCATCATGAACCACATCACCTGTGCCGCACCTGACTGAGCATTGCCGGTGTTTTAGAGGCCTGGTTGAAGCCCTTCAAGAAGGAGTTGGAGGTGGACCTGGACAGCGTGGTAATCCTTGCGGAGGACTCCACCTTCGGCGCCCCTCAAGTCTCCCGCTCATTCTTTGCTTTTGTGGTGGTTGGATCTGGAGCGATGGGAACAGATGGGAACCCTGGTCCCAGGAGGTCCCAGATGGGCCCTCTTTCCGTGCAAGAAATAACAGAACCAGGTTAACTGTCAACTGTCGGCTTTTCATGGAGCTCTTTGAAAAAACTAGTTCCGGCGGTCTGCGGCGAGGGGAGATGAAGACGAATTCTGATCAGGCAAGCATTCTGATCAGCCTGTAAACTAGACCCCAACACCCAAACACTCCATTGTCTATACATTGAATCGACCCTGCCTAAATATGGTCTTATATGTGATAGATCGACACTTGAGTGTGTTTAAAAACTGGCGAGCCCTTAGACCATCTATATAGACCTAATGGTTGGGACCCTTCCAAGCCTGGGACACTGACCATCTGACTCCACGTTCGCCGCATTCGCGCCGATGGGGACGGACCGCGGAGCTCCGACGATCTGACGAGGAGCGCTTCCAATCGCGAGTGCGATTGCCACTACAGCTGATGACCATCCAAGCGGGCTCCAGGATTCAAGAGAAATACCAGCAGCTGGGATGGAGAAGGGATGGAACAGCGGAAGGTCAGATTTAGGGATAGAAGTATAGCGAGGTTTTAATGGAAGTAGCTCGCATCAGGGGGAAATGCCGACTGTTCTAATGGTCTTCTTGGTCTTTTGGATGTTTTTTGGAACCTTCCAACAGCTTCGCTTTGTCCAACTGACACCATCTCATGTGCTTCCAAGACTCCCAGCTCCAGCTCGGACGCAACGCGCCATCCGCCGCAACGGCCTCGTGCATTCGCCTCGTCCTTTTTTGTTCTCGATCAACGTTTGGACCGTTGATGGGAAGCTCACCGAAGTTCGGATAGAAAGCTCAACGCAGGTAGGTTGTTCTCGTATGCACATACCGAGATTCATCGAGATTCCTTTTGCGCTGGCGATGTTGCATGTATTTGTACATGCAGGTGCAGAATCTTCCGCTTTAAAGTCGCCGCTAGCGGACAGAAGCCTGCTCCAAGCAGAGCCCAATCGCATGGCAGTCGCATGGCTTCTTTATGAGCAGTGCAGGATTTCCAGAGAAACGAATTTCCCTGATGTTGCCAGTGTTTCAGTCACTCCTTTTGACGAAAGGAGTCAGTGAGACTTTCGGCAACACCGATCACCTTAGTGTACGCTGCGGTTGCCAAGCAGAATGAAGCCAATAACATGTTTTAGGGCTCCAAGTGCCTCCTCAGATGGTATTTGGACCCTCCTGGCACCCACCCCAAACAACTTCTTAGACGGTACTTGGGAGCCCTAGGGATGCAAATAACATGGACATAACCACATTTGCTTCACTCTGCTCACTAAAAACAACACTGATTCCTGGCCATGGGCCGCGGCTGCCTCATCCTGTCCGAGCTGCTCGGGTGTGTTTGGGTGCCGGTTTCTTGCAAAGGCGCTTCCAACGTTGGAGTTGACTCAGCAAAGGAGCGTAAGCTCAATCATCCGGAGGAAATCACATCAGCATTCGGCACCATGAGTTTCGTGTTCGAAGGCAGATTGCTCTTTGGGACCAGGAACCTGATCCCAGCTGTGCAGAATTCTCCCAGCTGTGGCGAGAACCTGCCCTGTCACTGGATTGCTTGAGGGGGCGAGGTAGGTGGTTTTAGAAAGGCTGGCCATGGCTGGCCTTTCTGCAGAGAATAGTTGCAGTTGGTTGAGGAAATGGGCTGAATTGGACGCTGAAGTGGCTCAGAAAGTCTTTGAAAGCTCTTTTTCTTCATGAACCTTCATCAAAGGCTTAGTGGTTTCATGTTGGAGCAACGCTCAGTCCTTGCCTGGGAGGATGCAACATATGACTTGCAGTGTCAATACTTATTCAGTGTTTCATACTATATGCAATACTTCAGTGGAGTGTCAATACTTCAGTGGAGTATAGTTTCTAAGAATCGATATTCAGTATCAACTTGGGCGCGATCGCCACCAGCAAATGCCGCAAGAGCTCGTCAAAAGTATCTCCGCATGCTGGAGCAGTTTTGCTGATATCGTTGAACAACGGGGGCCGGTTGATGCCCCTGTGCCGTTGCTTTCGGTTAAACGGAAGTCAGACTGACTGAGGTAGTGTAATATATTAGTAAACACACACATATAATAATTATGTCAGCAGAGAGAGATAGAGAGAGAGAGAGTATACATGCATATGTATATTTAAAGAATACACATGCATATTACGACACCATCGTTACGAATCGTTGAGCTCGCTGGGCCAAAGGACGGGCCGAATCTCATCTGCTGGTCCTCTGTGATTCCCATCTTCGGGACGAAGGGCGTTTCAGGCACCAGGAGCACCCCAACCCTCCAGATTTTTCAGAGGCAGAGGCCGAATTCAAAGTCCAGGCAGAGGCCTCGAAGTCACGCTTTCAAAGCGTTGGTTTTGGAACTTTTGGAGCCGAACATGTTCCGATGAACTCATATATGAACTCTGTTTTTGCCTCCCTTGGTATCCTCACTGAAGCCACCGACTTCAAGAGAGTTTATAGTTGCTGTGGCAACTATATAGGACATTATTAGGACTCCTTTGGCAAAAAACAACAACCCGGATTAATCCATATTGACATGTCCTGACCCCCTTTTTCGTCGGCTTGCCCGAGGTATCGCTTGACCAACGGCCTACTGATCAGTATCGCCGAGAGGTATGGCAGCGCAGACTCTGCGGTTGTGGATTGGAACGTGTTGTTTTTGGTGTTTCCCATGTCTAAATTCAATCATTTAGTTATACAGGTTCGGTGTTTTTGGGTGACAGGTTGCGTTCTTGCAAAAGAACAAGACGATTCCTATTTGGAAACGGTTCTCCCAATTGACCTGTAGGCGGTTGACGTTGGACCTCTCACCACCCAGGACTACGTGGCCAAGAATGGCCCCGACGTGGCCATTCAGCAGGCGACGCGAAATGTGGCGGCCGCCCTGTTTGGCTTCTCCGATGATCCCAATGTGTACCTCAACTGAAGTGTTTATTTGTTTTGGTTCACCCAGCTGCAAACCCATTCGTGGTATATCACCTGTATATCACTGTGAGGATCCGCCCTGCCCTCGGCCCTGATGAACCAAACGGGCCCACACCGATGCGTTTGACGGAAGCGTTTGGCGGAAGCGGGGAACTGGAATTGTTCAGCGTCCTGCTCGCTAGAGGGATTTTCAGCTGCATGTGCGTTCCTTGGGTGTTTTGCGTGCTGAAAACGGCTTCTACTATATTTGAATAGAAGGATCAAACCGAAGAGCAATTAATCTTCAATCTCTTTATTTGATGGGAGGATGACACCAGGTCTCAACCATTGGGCAATCACTGCCATTTGTCCAGGACCTAACATAATATTAGGGTATTTAGGACACAAGTTCAGAATCCTTGCGTATTCAGAGGACATGTTGAACAGGACATGTTCTGAATCTCATGCAAGAATTTGAAATCATCCGCTTCATCCTTCGGCTTCGCCGAGGGCTCGCGCCTCGTCCTTCCTTCAGCTTCATCTCCTCGGTTTTGCTCAAGCGCTCTTTCGTGATGGCCGGCGAGAAGCACGTTCCGCCGGTCGCGCTGAGGCGATACTTGCGGGCTTTGCCAGAGGACCTGGTCTCCAGCATCTTGCAGAAGCACGGCCTCGACTGAGCGAGAGAGGCAAGAACGGGTCCAAGCAAGCTGAGAACGCAAGCTGGTCCTGCGGCTCCGTCCACTAGTGGTAATGCCTTTGTTACTACTAGTAAGGCCCTTGCTACTAGTGGCTTCTAGCTACTAGTAGTAGTGACCTTGTTACTACTAGTAAGGCCCTTGCTACTAGTAGCTTCTAGCTACTAGTAGTAATGC